TCCATTCAACGTAATCCACTTGCTGTTTTTCTCCCTAATTAAACTGCTCACCTCTGTAACATATGCAGTGCCTGAAACACTGCTCGGAGCATGGCAGGTACTCAACAGATGCATTTGTATTTGGAAATGAGGTAATGATAACTGTGTCTGAGTGAAGGGAGGATTCCTGTATTTTAGGGGATGGAGCAAAACAGTAACAAAAAAGTTATAAGATTTACTTCCTTTTAAAGATTCATTAACATTTAAAAATAAGTTAAAAAGATACTATTATACATGTGTCCCTCATCAGAGTGAAGGAATGTTTTTACCCTGAAGCTTGGGTTGAAGTAAAGTAGAGCCCTCAGGTTCTAGACTTCTTCTTGGTTTATAAATAGTTTTATAGATTTGTGCACTTTGTTTGTAGGGGTAATATGGGCAGCTGATGGAATGTATCACTCTGGAATTTACTGTTTGTTAGTCTATTCTTTTTTTTTTAATTGAAGTACAGTCAATTATAATGTGTCAAATTCTTGTGTACAGCACAATGTCCCAGTAATTTTTTTCTTCTTCTCCCCTCTTCCTTCTTCTTTCTTCTCCCTCTCCCTGCCTCCTCTCCCCCTCCTCTCACCCCTTCTTTTTCTTCTTCTTCCTATATTATGTAGCAATTCATTCCTTTTCTTTCCTGAGGAAGTTAAAATTGTTTATTAGATTATGCCCAATATGTGCTTTGATCACTTCAGAAATGCCGTAAGTACAATTAAATTTTAAATGTCCCCAAATACACAAGTTAATGATACAGATAAGTGGAGTACTAAATCCCCAAGCCCCATTTTAGGACATTTAGCTTCAACATTTCCCCATACTAAACCTTTTAGGAGTTCTGTTATAAACAGTGGAATGATATGCTTTATGTCTTAAACCCTTCTTTCCTTAGTGTCAGGAAAATATGTAACTATAAAAGAAACTAGAAACAATACCCGCAAGAAAAGCCATCAGTGTTCAAAAACTGGAGATTCAGATACTGATT